TTTCAGCTTCTTCACCCCATCTCGGGGACTGCGAGATTTCTAATGGAATTCCTATGGAGTTCCCCGAATGGTCCTATTGTAAAGGAAATTAGGCTTGTGGTAAGTTTCCTCTTCTTTCGTTCTCCCAGAATAGATTAGCTATATCTGCAAGGTTGTCTCTAGTATGAACTTCAGTGTATTCTGTAATTCACTTAGTGACCCGTAAAGTTCGGCTTGAACTGGTGTTTTTCTTGGGTACACCTTAGTCAGTGAGGTGTGAATTACAGATACTTTGGCGCAGGCCCTGAAAAGAAGACTGGTTGCGTGGATTTTTATCATGGCATAGGGCGTCGCATGTAGACCCAGCCTAAAATGGGTACCAGGATGGCTGTCATGGGGAGGTAAAAACGGCCGGCGTAAAGCTGAATACATTACCAATCCAGTGCCGTTTGGTCTGTAAAAATATGGGACGCTCTTCCCATATGCGCGATGCGCCTAAGGCGTGAAAAGAGATCTTTATTTTTTACTTTTACCTGAAAAGAAACGACAATCTCCATGAATGTATAGTCGTTGGTTAGGGTTAGATGTACGAATGCCGACAGGTCAAGCAAATTCTCGGCTAAGGCGAAATCACAAAGCAAGAACACCGCTTGCAAACAGGGCACAGTGAGGGCGACGAACGAACGAAAGAAACCCACACGGGAAATGAAGTCGCAATAAACGATGAACACACTGAAAAACAAGCAACACATGATGCTCCTAGAATAAAGCAATTTTGGTGTGGTAGGGTTACTGTTAAATGAACATCTACTAACACTTACCACTAACGCCCCCACCCCCACCCCACACACCCACATAGGACCTTCCGGGGAACTCCCTAGGAATTGCCTTCCAAATCTCGCAGCCGACGAGATGGAGTGAAAAGGCTGAAAAGAATCCCGCAAGCTTCTCTAACATTTTAAAGTGTAGATAACAATTAGGAGTAGGGGGGAAAGGGGCGGTGGAGTAGGGGTGGGGGGGGGGGGGGGTTAAAGAAAAAGTGGAATGTGCACCTTGAAGTACAGGCTCAGAAAGATAGAAAGGCAAAGTGTATAGTACTATGTCGATGTAGAAAGTGTATAGTCCTATGTCGATGTAGAAAGTGTATAGTCCTATGTCGATGTAGAAAGTGTATAGTCCTATGTCAGATGTAGAAAGTGTATAGTCCTATGTCAGATGTAGAAAGTGTATAGTCCTATGTCGATGTAGAAAGTGTATAGTCCTATGTCGATGTAGAAAGTGTATAGTCCTATGTCAGATGTAGAAAGTGTATAGTCCTATGTCAGATGTAGAAAGTGTATAGTCCTATGTCAGATGTAGAAAGTGTATAGTCCTATGTCAGATGTAGAAAGTGTATAGTCCCATGTCAGATGTAGAAAGTGTGCAGTCCTATGTCAGACGTAGAAAGTGTATAGTCCCATGTCAGATGTAGAAAGTGTATAGTCTCATGTCAGATGTAGAAAGTGTGCAGTCCCATGTCAGATGTAGAAAGTGTATAGTCCCATGTCAGATGTAGAAAGTGTATAGTCCTATGTCAGATGTAGAAAGTGGAGTAGCGGCTAGACGGTCGCCTGCGGATCGGAAGATTCGGGTCCGGACTGAGCCGGATTTTAAAAAAAAAAACGATTTTGACTCCTAGGTCGACCGAGCCTTAACTGGGTATCAGATAACAGTCTTGGGAAGTAAAGGCCGCCGGCGTAATGTTGACCATATCACGCACCGAGTGCCGAATGATCTCTAAAATAAACGTCTAGCCCTATATGCCAATATGTCTGAAGGAGTGGAAAAGGGTCCTATACCTTTGAGGCCACAGTGAACTGCACAGCGTTTTCATGTATCCAGATGGCCACGAATCTCTGTGATGAAAAAATGCATACGTTTGACTGGCGTTCCGAAGCTCTTGGGTCCGTTTTTGGACAATGTAGTAACGCTTATAAGTTCATTTAATGTGAAGATCACAAGAGGTAGTCGATCGTCTCCACTTTTGTACTTTTCAATAAATTCATGTTTTGTCATTTAAATGTCAAATTATGTAACAGTCGCCTTAAAAGATAACCAACAACTTGACCTTAACTGACCCCCACCGAGGGACGGATTGTTTGGCTATGGGTGAACTCCGACACAAGGTTCACTTTTTCAGTATATATTTTTTTTTTAATTAAAGAGAAAGCGGAATATGAAGAGGAAGGAAACGAAGAAGAGGGGGAGAAATAAGGAAAAAGAAGAATGACGAAAAAAGCGGGAGAGAGATGGAAGTAAAGTTGAGGTGACTTGATACGAACCGACATGACAGCACCCTGGATATTTCCATAAGCGCTCCGACCCTATCTTCGGCAGTCAGCTCAGAGTTCCAATACCAGTGGTACCAGTAGCAGTCAGTCACTAACGGTTAAACGGCGTTTCTGAGAATCGCCTGGAATATTTTCATCTGAATTGTGGCACTTTGTGTCACCGGGTGATAATCTCTAATGGCGAGGTCCTGACGGGGTTGTTGGGTCAGTCTTGTAACCTCTCCCAGCAAAGACTGTGGATCTGGCCCACGGGAGCCACATTGCAAGAGAAGCTATGGGGAACCGGTGGCGACCTTAAACGCACAATCCTATTTGTGACCCAGACGGGACTCAATGTCTAGCATGACTGATGTGGAACGCAGAAGAAGAAGAAGAAGAAGAAGAAGAAGAAGAAGAAGTCTTGTAACTGTTGAGATCAGCAGTTTCATAGACATTTCTATCGTTTCTTCGTCATATTTCATGAGTTTTATCTTACAGAATACATTTCCGAACACCATTATCTATCATTTCCCCCACTTTCTCGTGATCTCATTAGAAGATTCTCCGAGTTGAAAAACCAGGTTCTTTCATTTCCCATAAAACAGTAAAATGACTGGCATTGAACCGTGAATTATTTGATATTTGTGATTGAAACAATTACGTCATTTCAAATCTTGTTCAAACATCGAGGTACCGTCGTCATTTGGTAGCGACCCTTGTATATATATATATATATATATATATATATATATATATATATATATATATATATATATATATATATATATATATATATATAACTTGTGATATGCACATTATCAGGTACATCCTAATTTCTCTATCAGTATACAAGACCATTTATGACAGACATATTTTTGTGTAGACTTGTTTGAATCATGTGTCACCTTGAACTTGAATCAGCTGTGTTTACAAAATGCGGCAAATTTAAAAAAGAAACGAATCAAAACTCCGAGCATGGGGAGACGTAATGTTGCGGCTGGAGACAGGAGAAGTCTCAGGTGACTGTTATCTCGGTGAGCTTGGGCTTGATTAGCGTTTGTTGTCTGACATTGGAGAAAGAGTCAATACACGTTAGCGGGAAATATCTGTGTGGGGCCCGCCCGTTACAGCATGTTGTTGTGTGGTCCCAGTGGAAAATGTTTTGTCAACAACAGAGCACCGGGTGCAAAAATTCTCCAGTTTGTGCACTCAACGTCAGCAATAATATTTTTATTATTTATCTTCTTGAATGTCCGTAAACTTTTGAACTTGTCTTTAAATTAACAAGTAATTGTTATTGCATCAACATATGCTTTTATTTTTGGTACTAAATATGTTATTGGTATCTTTTGGTAGGTCGCCATGTGTGTCCTTTCAATGGGCTGCGTGACAGATGGCATTGACTTGAAAGAATGTGGGAGCGCCACCCTGTAGTTAGTTACCTGTTCACTCCCAGATAGTTTTGACTTGAAAGAATGTGGGAGCACCACCCTGTAGTTAGTGACCTGTTCACTCCCAGATAGTTGTGACTTAGAAGCAACAGAGTTAAACCACTAATGCTGAAATGGAAACTACACGGGACAATAGGCAGTAAGGAAGCAAACCACAAGTGACAAGAAAGAATACAGTATCCTACCTCCTCCCGCTCCCCATACACATTTGTTTAAAGAAAAAAAGGTCCATGAGTGTCCCAAGCTCCCTCCACCCCCCCCCCCCCCCGGCTAAGGGGCCCCCTAGACAGTTTTGGAGAGCATAAGGGATCTGGAATCTAGACAGTATACAATTAACAGTTAGGTTGTTCCAGGACTCATACTGGTGAAGACCTTTCTGCCTACATCTGTCTGTGGGCATCCTAGACGAAACAGGTTGCAAACCTGGTCATTGTATTTGTGACTGATGTCTCCTTTTAAGTCATAGTGCATCAGACTGAGAGGCAAGGAACCAATGGTCTGCACAGAAACAAGCCAGATCTATAAAACAGATTGCATGCAAAACTGAAGTCTTGGATTAAGACCAAAGTCCAGAAGTGGACGAATAACCAGGAATTAGCAGCTGATGAACGTAAAGGAGTTTTGCATCGACACACACGAACAATGGTGAAACAGACTGGTAACTTCTACAATAGTTCAAGTCAAGTAATGACTTCGAACAGAAAAAAAAACTGCATCATAATGAATTTCATGTATAATTTCAAAATATCTGTACCAAAATGACTCATTCTGTAGTTAATAGATTTTATAGTGATCGTAGCTATGTCATTTAATCTGTATTGTAGGGTTCTGAAGCAAGCATATACATGTATTTACATCTGTCTGTTTTTGCAGGTTGTGCAATCCCATTTATCTGTAAAGTTTTATGGGAAGTCCATCCTGACCTGCCATAGCCAAGCAACCTGTGCTGAACCAGTGAAGAGAAATAGCCTTGTACAAGAATATTGCACATCTGCATCACTGCTTACATGGAAATGGTTTTAGTTCCAGCTGTATAACAAATGTGTTGTTCTATGTTTGATTTGTACCATGTGGACTTGTTTAGAGAAGAAATATATCAAGAAACAGGCTGCTGTTGCACTAAATTGGATTGTTTTTGATTAAGAACTTTGCTTCAGCTACTTTGATACATCCCTGTAACTGGTGGTTGAAAGTCCAAGTGTTGAACAGCATCAGCTTAGACTAATCCAAATCAGAAAACGTCAAATTGGTGAAGGAAAACATGTGCAAATTCAGCAAAACATGTCGTTTGATGTGTATGCTTCTGTTGACCTCCATTTTCTTTCTGCTAGAAATTGTTGTTGGCTATTTAACCAACTCTGTGGCTTTAATTGCTGATTCATTTCATATGCTGTCAGATGTGGTGGCACTTGTTGTTGCATTTGCTTCGGTTCGGGTAAGTGTGTTACATTCCTTTATATGTATATGAAAACTTATCTATTTCTGACTGTGTCTTCCTCTTTCTCTCTAAGGTCAGGGAAGTATCTGGGTCCTGAGAGCCTAGGTATTCGAGTGGATGTTGATGCACAACAGACTGTCCTGTGGATGTTGATGTACAACAGTCTGTCCTGTGGATGTTGATGTACAACAGTCTGTCCTGTGGATGTTGATGTACAACAGTCTGTCCTGTGGATGCTCAACAGTCTGTCCTGTGGATGTGGATGCACAACAGTCTGTCCTGTGGATGTGGATGTACAACAGTCTGTCTTGTGGATGTGGGTGTACAACAGTCTGTTTTGTGGATGTGGATGTACAACATTCTGTCCCGTGGATGTGGATGTACAACAGTCTGTCCTGTTAGGAATCCAACATCACTTTTGCTGGGAGGGCAGTGAAATAACAGGCTGACTGGCCAGAAGCAAAAGGGACATGGCACAATCAACACACCCAAGATATTGATGAAAACTAACATCCAGGAAAGATGACTGTGTACCTAAAACATTGATAACAACTAATATACAAGAAAGATGGCTGTGTACCTAAGACATTGATTAAAGCTAGAATCTGAAGAACCGGTGAAGAGCCTCGGCCGCTTCAACGAAATTATCTGATAGAGCGGAAGTCCGGCGCATACATGAGTCACTGGCTACAGCCTGCTCGCAATCGAGCGATGCAGGTTGATTGGAAAGTTTAAGGTCTGGTGTCTCCAGTTTATGTTGATTCCAAAGCTCCTCTGGCCGCTGCTCATATACAAAGTCAGCATGATGACAGTGGAAAATCAACACAGACATAAGAAAATGTCCTGGGGCACCGCCTTGTCCGACCTGTGTGGCTCTGTATTGTAAGCAGGCTAAGCTGGTACTTCCCTTCAAGTCAGTAACCGAAGAGTTTAAAGTTGGCAAGGTAAGACGCGTGATGATGATGCTCCTTTAGACCCCACGGTGGCAGCTGTCCAGCTCGCTCTAAAGACAGGTAAGAAATGGAAGGTCCTAGATGCGATAGAATCTGCCCAAGATGTACTGAAATTGAAGGAAGTCATGGGTTACACACAAACCGAGCATCAAGGCCTAGGACCTGGGAAAGTCAGTTGGTGGTCCAAAGCCACAGGCAAAGAGCACAGAGACATGGTAATACAGCAGATAAGGGACGCCGAAGACGAGACTCAGGTCAAAAAATGCGCACAACAGTCGCAGCAAGGTGAGTGGATCGGCCTCCAGAGCGCCTTGCTACGAGTACTCACATGGGGTGAGATCTGGCGAATGGTCCCGCTGCAGCTGAGCTTTGTTGTGAGATCTGCGTACGACGTGTTACCGTCTAGCATCAACATGGTTAAATGGCATGCGACTACCGACCCGATATGCCCACTTTGCAGAGCTAAGCAGACGCTGGAGCACATATTGTTCGTGTGAAGAAAAGCCCTAGGCCAGGGAAGATACACTTGGCACCATAATAAAGTCCCAAAAGAGTTAGGGGACATTGTGGACCAAGCTAGGATAAGGGCCAGTGCTTGACGAAGTACAAGATCAAGAAGTACTGTGAGCTCCCGGCCGGTCTGCCTCTCATGCACTCTCATTCCAAAGGAAGCCCCAAGTTAGTTGACACTCACGGCTTACTTGTTGGGGGGAGAAAGGGGTCTGTTCTTATTTCCCCCCTGGATGGGGCCCCAGAACCCACATGAAAGCAAAGACAAGATAGAAAGGATAATCTACAACCTCGTAACACATTATTGCATCTGTATGATCTTCACTGGACTACTAGTCACACTGTCTGGACATCCATTAACAGCAAGAACACTAGGGTAGACATGACAGCAGTGCTGTTCAACTCAGTTTACCTGGGGGCCATAGTGTTGAGATTGCTGAGACCAGTCCCAGCAAAGTATCAAGATCATTACTGCAGTACAATTGGCAGTAATCTGCGGGCCACTTGCTATACCCCTGCAGGCCAGATTGGGCCCATGGGTGACTACCTGTATAGCCCAGCAAAACATTGTGAGGAAAGTCCTACAGATTCTCTCAGAATAATCAATCTTTTAGTAAAGAAGGTAAAACTAGCCCATTCCCACCCCTGCCTCTATACCCCCTCCCCCACCCCTCCAAAAAAAAAAAAAAAAAAAAAACCTGAAAAAGAAAAAAACTACAACAGCCAGTGGTCAAATGAACATTGCAGCTATACAACTTTTATCTGCAGATAACATTTTCTTATTGTCTGTGCTACTCAGTGATGACAAGTAAATAACCCTTGATGCGATAGCAAAAATTGAATGTAACCATTGAGCATTCTTAGTTTTAATTTCATAATTGTCCAATTTGTCTTCTGGATTTTTGTTTACGGACTATTACAAACATTTATTGCAGATATCCAAATGGCCATCCAAACGAAACACATATGGTTGGGTCAGAGCAGAAATTCTGGGTGCTCTAGTTAATGCAGTCTTCCTATTGGCTCTCTGCTTCTCCATCACAGTAGAAGCTTTTAAGCGATTGGTCAAAGTGGAACAAGTGGAAGAACCTATACTGATGCTTATTGTGGGAGGAGCTGGGCTGCTTGTCAATATACTAGGACTTTGCCTGTTTCGTGGTGTGCTCACATTCATGTCGTTTGTGTTGTCACCATGGTTACAAGTATTTGTTGACTGTTTTCTTTCTTATGACTTTGATTTTACTAGTTTTTTTTTTTCCATTCAGTATTTGCCATTTGCTTTCTGCTATCAGATGGCATGCAGTTGACTTCAGAGTATTCTGGAATTATGAAACAGCTTCATAACCTCTAAGCCACAGACAGCATGAGCTTGGTAGTCTGACACAATTGGATAGATTCATAGTTTTTTTCTTGTCTTAAAAAATTTTTTTTTTTAAACGCCAACAAAAACGATACAATAATCAAGTATTATTGACATCTATAGCATCTTTAGTCATTTGTTTGAGGTTCTTGCCTCAGTGCATATGTCTTTCTTTTTCAGTGTATCTGTCTGAGAGAATCTGTAGGACTTTACTTACACTGTGATGCTGCGCTATACAAGTTGTGGCCTATGGGCCCAGTCCGGCCTGCAGAGGCATAGCAAGTGGACCACGGATCATTGCCAACTGCACCATACAGAATTTCCTTCACTGTCCTGTTTGTAGTGGAAAACATCAGTCCCAGCAAAATCTGGAAATTGTCAACACTAACAATTCTGCAGCAGAGTACCAGCTCACTGTGACTGCAGGCAATCAGGCATGAAACCCGGCTGTACACACACAGTACTGCATAATTACATGTCATTTCATGTTTAATTGTTAGTGCATTTCACAATGTCAAATTGCTGCAGAAAATAACATACCACAGGAAATCCACAGCCCACATTATTGCAACAAAGAACTCAGCTCAGAAGTGGGCGATGGAACCTTTGGACTGTCAGTCCAGAAATAAGAGACAGCCAGAAATAAATAATTGTTCGAAGCATCAGCTACCTATCCACCCACCAGACGTCAGGCCCCCCCCCCCCCCCCACAACTTATGTTCATAGACTGCAAGGTATCTTCAGGCGTTTAGGTGATGGATCATTACACTTCACACAGATATCCTCAGATATCCTCAGATATCCTCAGATATCCTCATATATCCTCAGATATCCTCATAAGTGCTTGAGTTCTTCCTGTAGATCAGACAGTGTGAGTCTCAGCACAGTGTTGGATCCCCATGGCACTTGCAAAGATCCAAATGTTTGTATACCTGAACTACTTATTTTATGATCAAATGTGTGTGTAACAGAACCAAACTATGTTGTATATATTTTATGATGAGATATGTGTCTACCAAAACCAGTATACACTGTACATATTTTATGCTTAAACATGTCTAGCAGAACCACAGTACACTGTAGATATTTTATGATCAGATGTTTGTCTAGCAGAACCACAGTACGCTGTAGATATTTTATGATCAAATATTTGTCTAGCAGAACCACAGTACACTGTACACATTTTATTATCAGATGTTTGTCTAGCAGAACCACAGTACGCTGTAGATATTTTATGATCAGATATTTGTCTAGCAGAACCACAGTACGCTGCAGATATTCTATGATCAGATGTTTGTCTAGCAGAAACACAGTACGCTGTAGATATTCTATGATCAGATGTTTGTCTAGCAGGCATTAAACAAAAATGACCATGACCCCTAACTACTCTGGACAGCTCGTGTGGAACATAATGGTGCCTTGGCTTTGTAATTAGAAGAAACCGGTGAACAAGCGAACACATTCATTCTCCAAGCATGTTTTGTTGACTGTTGACCCTTTTGCTACAGATTGTAGAAAACACAGCCAGTGTAATCCAGTGTGGATCAGCGAGCGGTGATTCAGTTCCTTACATATGAAGCTTGTCAGTTGAGCACTGATCTCAGAATGTTTATTAATGGTAACCTTTCTCAAACAGGTCATGCTCATTCCCATGGAGGCAGTGGTCACTCCCATGGAGGTCATGCTCATTCCCATGGAGGCAGTGGTCACTCCCATGGAGGTCATGCTCATTCCCATGGAGGCAGTGGTCACTCCCATGGAGGTCATGCTCACTCTGGCAAGCATCATAGAAAACCCCACAAAGAATACGTCCACTCACCAAGTCTACTTGACAGCCCTGAAGGTCACAAGCATGCTTTTGAGCATCTGAGCACTTGTCATAAGAAGACTGGCAATGACAGTCCACAGTCATCTGAAAAGGAGTCTTTGGTTTTGTCAGAACCAACATGTACTTCAACAAGTCTTTCTGAAGATAAGGAAATCTATATGTCTCCAAATGCAAATATTACAATAGAAATAAAAAAGCCAAAACTGGGTGAGTTTTAATTGTGTTGTACCTGTTTTGTACAATATGAAATCTGTGCTGGCCATCAGTCTCCTGTAATAAATACCCTAGGCCAGACCAGTAGACAGTCGAATCATCATCATCATTTTCCAGTTTTTCCATTAAAAGCAACCTGGGTAGATTTGGTGGTTCAGCACTTGAGGGAAACTGTCATCCTGGGTGTGTGTATACAATGTTTTTGATGTTGCCAGTCTTGTCTTTTTTTGGGGGGGGGGCACTCTCTTGCTGTCATGTAAGATCTTCTCAGATGTAGTGCCTGTGTTGATAAGTTATGTTGCTCCATTCCTACAAGATGTCCAAACTGTTTGATAGTCTATTTCACAGTGTATTTGGCACAAAGTCTTGTTCCCACACACTGGCTGATTGTTTCCCCCCCCCCCACCCCCCCCCCCCCCTCTCAAGTCTCAGATGGTTAAATTGGCAGCATTTCCAGCATCTCATCAATGTCTGAATAATTTGTTGATTTTAACTAATTATGAATAGTTAAAAGCTCTCACATGTGTCAGCATTGCTTTTTTCCATTACATGTTCTACATATAAGTGAAAACATAGGAAGAGGGTGCTTTCCCATATGGGTTCTGGGACCCCATTTGTGTGTGGGGGTGGTAGAATAATATACCCATTGCAGCTTAACACACATGTCATTTCCTGTCATTTCTTTTTTCGTTCGTCACCCAGCTTCTGAGTTGAATGCATGGCGTGACACTGTGAGCTACAAATTTCATTTGGTATGTTTTTTCGACTGTGACCAACGTGGTGGTGTGAATTGTAGATTCAGAAAATGGCGCGATGCCTGTCGTCGCAATGTTGGTGGTACCCGTATATGATTAAAATTGATCGTGTGGGCAACTGCTGATCTGCTGGTGACTTCTGCTACCATCAATGATGAACTGCATTTCTAATATCGGACTGTTTGTGTTAGCACTTCAGATAGCTACTGTATGCTTTGATGCGTATGTATGCTAGATATGAGAGACAGCAGTCTGTCAATCTTTCCACAAGGGACTGTGATAAACATTCTGTGTGTTTTTCGTTGCAAAGATGTGGTGACCCATTTGCTATGAAGCTGAAACTAAGACTACCAGACCAGACATGTCATAAAATGATTTGCTGAAATTGGATATGTTGAGCTGAAAGTTGCAGATTTCACAGTCTATCTGTAACCACAACTTCTGCCCTTTGGAGGTAAAAGAAGAAGGAGGAAGAAGTTGCAACATTTCTTATTGCCCTTTATACTTCAAACAGGTTTGATATTTCACCAGTTCAGCTATTACTGCTGCTTGTTGTTTGGGATTCAAGACTTGAATAAAAAGAATCAAAGACATTTTCTGAATCCAAGTCTCTAAGGATATTCCAGAATCTTTGCTGCAAAACCTAGTTAAATCCTTTATTGTATTCTGTGAAATAAGAACGAGTATACAAAAGTACCTCTGTGTATGTCCACATTTTAATAAACCCAACTTGGTATACCTGAACACTTCTGCTTGGTATACAACCTTTGTGTATAATACGACTGGCATACTAAAACTTGTGTGTATCAGAATGAGTCTTAACAGTGGGCACTACCCTTGTTTATCTTGTCTCGAGACAAAGCTGTGTCTACCTATGTGCATCAGTATTGTGGTCTACCTATGTACATCAGTATTGTGGTCTACCTATGTGCGTCATTATTGTGGTCTACCTATGTGCATCAGTATTGTGGTCTACCTATGTGCGTCAGTATTGTGGTCTACCTATGTGCATCAGTATTGTGGTCTACCTATGTGCGTCAGTATTGTGGTCTACCTATGTGCGTCAGTATTGTGGTCTACCTATGTGTGTTAGTATTGTGGTTTACCTATGTGCATCAGTATTGTGGTCTACCTATGTGCATCAGTATTGTGGTCTACCTATGTGTGTTAGTATTGTGGTCTACCTATGTGCGTCAGTATTATGGTTGCTACTATTCAGTGATCAACCGGCACTATAACTCTGAATTTTCAGGTCAGTTTGTGTTTTTTTTTTACATAAATTTTCATGTAAAATTCTAATAAGCACTAGGCTTTTCTCAGCAAGGTAAAAAATTTTTTTTAATTTCCTTTTTTTTGGATCTAATTACTTTTGTATTTATGTATTTAATTATTCAGCAGAGTATCAATGGTTGTATACAACCCCTTCAGTGTATCATATGCTGAAAACAATAGGATATTATTTTTTTATGGGAGTGGATTAATAATTCTCTCTACTTCTTATGAGAAAATTTGTTTTTTATATGTCCTGTTCGGTATATGTTAAAGGAGTTGGAACGAGTTACGTATGTATTACCGAGGTACCACTGTATTTACATTCCTGATTAGTTACAGCAAAACAGAGAAGTCACCACCAGGTTGGTAGGCAAGTATGCTAGTCACCACCAGGTTGGTAGGCAAGTATGCTAGTCACCACCAGGTTGGTAGGCAAGTATGCTAGTCACCACCAGGTTGGTAGGCAAGTATGCTAGTCACCACCAGGTTGGTAGGCAAGTATGCTAGTCACCACCAGGTTGGTAGGCAAGTATGCTAGTCACTACCAGGTTGGTAGGCAAGTATGCTAGTCACTACCAGGTTGGTAGGCAAGTATGCTAGTCACCACCAGGTTGGTAGGCAAGTATGCTAGTCACTACCAGGTTGGTAGGCAAGTATGCTAGTCACCACCAGGTTGGTAGGCAAGTATGCTAGTCACCACCAGGTTGGTAGGCAAGTATGCTAGTCACTACCGTATGTTTGCTCCATTCATCCTAAGATGTGTAGATAACTACAGAAAGGGAAAAAATGGAGGAATAAAGTAAGAAACCAGTGTAAACCGGTAGAAATAACATAACCTTCACCATTGTATGTGAACATACGTTCATGGTATTTTATGAGAGAATTTTGCTTTGTTTCAAAGCTGTCATTTTTACTAGAAGGCCCATGTAAATGCATTTCATGTTTGGTAGGCAGTTGTACCCCACCAGGACATAAAACAAGCAGTAAACACCCAGTGACATAAAGTGCCACCATGCAGATGAGGGTCACCCGTGGAGAGGTCCCAGAAACCCCTTTCAGCTGTTATGGCCATATCTATGGCTAGGCCATATCTATGGCCCGGTTATACTCAGGAACCAGCAGAAGCTAGGGTGGGGCTTCAAATAACAAAAAAATTGCATCCCACACGGGGACGACTTCTATATTTATTATATTTGGGCGCCATGGTGGCAGAATAGTCAAGTCATGCATATCTAAATGGTGTGGGTTCATTTGATAACATTTGAATCACAAGTGCAGTTTTTGGAGATCCATGGGGATTGTTGCTGGAGATTCAAAGCTCGCACTTTGTGCAGTGTTCTCGACAGGCAGCTACCCGTTATGCCGAGAGAGACTAAGCTGTATGGGATAAAACCTAGTGCAATGAAGTTGATCTTCTTGACTTGAAACTTTAATATTACAAGGGAAACAGTCATGAGAAAACTAATTTCAGCAGTGCAGTCTCAGCAGCTGAACATGAGAGGCATCTTCCTGCACGTGCTGGCTGATGCTCTGGGCTCTGTTGTTGTGATCATCTCAGGGCTGATCATCACCCTTGCTGAAGGTGACTGGAGATATTATGTTGACCCATCTTTGAGGTACAGTACTTTTGATCTCTGATTTTCTCTAGCTGGTTTCATATCAGTTTTATTATACTGTTTGTTAAGAGTTAAGAAATTATATCACAGTACTCTAACTATCCACAAACTGCTCCATCTTCAGCAGGCACCACTGAAGTATGTAATGAGTTCTGACACTAAATGTGCGCGTGGTAATTTGCTTTAATGTTTGTCTTGCCTTTCTTCTGAGTGTGGAATGTTTACCATATCCTGTGGTCAGTCCCACTTTCATGTTTTAGTTTTCAATCAGTAAGTCAGTTATTGTCATTTCTGTTACACAACAATGATGGTAGATTCTTCTTTCTCTTCATTTCTTTTTTTTTCTTTTTTTAACTGCTTTCGGTATCAAGGGAGATAATTTTCTTCTTCTCTCCCCTTAAAAAGCAGTTGGCACTTTGTGTTGTGGTGTACAGTTGCCACATCTGTGCATTTCTGCCCAGCACATCCAGTTTCACACACACACAAAGGGAGCCCCAGAAAGCACACCAAGACAGATGTGTACTGGAACATCCAGCTCAACCTTAGACACTGGACATTATTGTAGAGTTTCTGTAATGTTCTCTTTCCACATTGTTCTTGTCTACTTAGGGCTCTACATCCCTCTTTTCTTTCGTATATGCCCTCTATAGTTTACAATTAAAGACGGGAAAGCTGTTTTATTTGTTGTCTTTGAAAGTTGAAGTTCCATTTGTTAGTAAAAAAATCCCCCCCCCCCCCCCCCCCCCCCCCCATTTTTTGTTCATTGGCTTTTTATGTTTCCATTTCTGTCTGATCATGATGTGTATTCTTGGACGTCTTGGCATCAAAATAGTCAACACTGATATATATTTATACACACACAAACACGCGCACATGCAACACCCCCACCCCTCCCCCCACCCCACAAGCTGAAACAATTTCTATTATCAATGAAAAGCAGTTAATATCTATTTAATCTGTTCGCTTGCAAAGAAACATTGTTTTTGTTGTTGACTTTTAAAATTTGTGTGTGTGTGTGTGTATATATATATAGTATAAAATAATATTTATGGCTGTGGTTGACAGTTGCTGGCACAGGTAGATGGTGAAGGAGGAAAGCTACCCTTTCAAGGAGAGTTCCATTTCTTAATAATGTCGGGCAGCTGTTTAGGTATTTCTGGTATTTTCTCTCTGGTTTGTTTCCTGGGAAATATTTCAGTTGTTGGCTCGGTGGCTACAGTAATTTGTCCACTTTTTCTAACACTTGAGTAGCCACTGCATTAGCCACATCAGCCATTATTTGCGCAACCTTATTCTTTAAGATAGTAAAGATCATAGATTTCACCATTATGGCACTGCTTGGCGAGATCAGAAACATCAACACCAAACTCATGTTCAGTTATGATTTCCTTCTTCGTTCCTACTGTCATATGCTTAGTCTTCTTCACACCACTACCACTAACATTTTTTCATTTTTTTTAATGAGCCATCATGAAGGTTTCATTGATGCACAAAGCAACATTAACAATATCACAAATATGTCACACGACAAACAATGTTCACAGCGCGTAATACTATGACAAACAATGTGCGCTCATGGGCCAGAATATTATTCACAGGTCGAAGCAAAATTTTTGAAATTTTCTTCGTTGGTCAACTTGTTTGTGACTAGAGTTGTTCTTACCAGAGCTAACACTGTATATGTCTCTCTCTCTCTCTCCCTCTTTCTCTCTCTCTCTTTCTCTCTCTCTCTTTCTCTCTCTCTCTTTCTCTCTCTCTCTCTCTCTCTTTTTCTGTGTGTGTGTGTGTGTGTGTCGGGTGGGTGGGTGGGTGTTTTTTTTTAAATAATTTTTGTTATACTAATGTGTAATGGAATAATTTTAGCTAATCTCATGCAGTTTGGTCTAGCTGCATTCTCACTAGATGGCCAAACTTTCATTCTTTGTCATTAGTAGAGGTAGTTATTTTCTGTTCTAGTGCCCTGTTCATTGTCCAGGTTTGGCACTGATATCATGAAGTGGGAATCAAGAGATATTAATTGTTTGTATTTTGCTGGAAGGGAGACATTTAGTTACTGTTGTTATGACATTTTTAGAAGCAAACAGTAGGATGTATTTATATCCACTGTTAATTGTAGCCATTTTAGTTTATATCATGACGCAACACTTAGCATCCAAATTAGTATAGGCAGTGCTAACTTTAAAATGAGGTCGGATATGGTGGGCCTATTCAGACCAAACTAGTTGCATTTCAGTTTTGCTTTTGATAGGCAAATCTGTTTGCAAATTGTTGGTCTAAATATATATTTTCTCAAAGTGGAAAAGGGTGAATCTGGTGTAATGACTCACTGAGATCCTTGTGTGTTGTTTTCTCAGTTTTTTATATTGAAGGTAAGTGGAATTTAACTGTTTCCATTATATAATGGTAAGTAGCCAGTATTATATAGTGTAAACAAATGGCTCTCTCCTTTTTTTACAAAAATGGGAGTTTTTCTGTTATCATTTATGGTGCACAGCTTTGCTTATTTTGGCAATGTTGTGGAGACTGTTCTTCTTCGCAGGTGGCCATGTTGTGGAGACTGTTCTTCTTCTCAGGCGACCATGTTGTGGAGACTGTTCTTCTTCTCAGGCGGCCATGTTGTGGAGACTGTTCTTCTTCTCAGGCGACCATGTTGTGGAGACTGTTCTTCTTCTCAGGCGACCATGTTGTGGAGACTGTTCTTCTTCTCAGGCGACCATGTTGTGGAGACTGTTCTTCTTCTCAGGCGGCCATGTTGTGGAGACTGTTCTTCTTCTCAGGCGGCCATGTTGTGGAGACTGTTCTTCTTCTCAGGCAGCCATGTTGTGGAGACTGTTCTTATTCTCAGGCGGCCATGTTGTGGAGACTGTTCTTCTTCTCAGGCAGCCATTTCTCTCCCATATAATTACAATGTAACCAAGCTTTCCATGTGGCTTGATTTTTAGTTTCCAAAGCATAAATGTTCATATAAAAATGTGTGAGTTTTTAACAAATGTGTTTACCCCTGCAGGTCTAGAGTTGGCCCAGCTTCAGAAAATGAGTCCCATATAAGTTTCTGAGAAGTAAAGGCAGTAATCAAGTGACTTTGTCATTACACTCCACATGTTAGGTTTAGATTGTGGTGCAGGAAATCTGCACATCTTCAGTATAAATTATTGCTATTAAAACAGTCTGTGGAACAGCATAGAAATCACAGCCAATGGCTATGTTGATTGCTGCTTACAGCCCATGGCTATGTTGATTGCTGCTAACAGCCCATGGCTATGTTGATTGCTGCTAACAGCCTATGGCTATGTGGATTGCTGCTAACAGCCCATGGCTATGTGGATTGCTGCTAACAGCCCATGGCTGTGTGGATTGCTGCTAGCAAGACCAGCTCAGATTCAGAAAAACACTTGAGACCAGGGATGAAGTTCCACCTCTCCAGGGCATAAAGCCTGGGCACTAGTATAGAGACCATGAGTTTCCCATGATGCAGCATGATTCTTTTCCCTGCCCTCACCTATACTCTGAAGGAAAGGTAACACCAGAATGTTTGGAACAAAACATCCTACAGAAACTGTCGGATCAGAGTATCTGTGCTCTCTCTCTCTGTCTGGCTGTCAGAGCTTCTTCCATAGGCCAGCTGCCAACTAAGCTTAAGGGCCTGGTCTGCCATAACATACAGTTTTCAGGTTGCATTTCCTCTTCCTAGGATAAGGCGAATATCCTCCACAATGTGCTCCACCTCTCCAAGCCTTAGCACAGTATGGGATGTCAGGTTTGGTATTTGCCACCAACATTCAGTGATTCACACAGTATGGGACATCAGGTTTGGTATTCACTACCAACATTCAGTGATTCACACAGTATGGGATGTCAGGTTTGGTATTTGCCACCAACATTCAGTGATTCATAGACAACAGGTAGAACTGACTACAGTTGTATGGGAGCTCAGTCACATCTGACTAAGACCTGACTGTAGCCTGCTTCCCTATTGCATTGTTACTAACAGTATCTGAATTGATGATGATTTCCTTATGTGGAATAATCAGTATATTTCTTTATAACAGACTAGATTGGTTGGTTGCAATTCTGTAAAGCAGCAGTAGGGCATCAGCGCAGCGATCAGCACGAGGTAAACTAAGCACCAGCAACAATCAGCTGAAACCCACAGATATCAGCACTTAGATAACTGGACTAGACTAGACCCCAAACCCCAAACAAAACACCGGACTTAGGAAGACAAAAAACAGGAATACAAGGTGTGACTTCACACCACAAATAATTGGAAACCTAATAAGATAGTTGAGGAACCTTCCTTCATATAGCAGGCCTCCAGGCGGCTGAAAAAGGATCAAATTTAGAATTTTTGTTGGACAACTGGAATGGGAATGCAGGGAGACCAAGAAGACGATGGAGAGATAATATTCAGACAGACCTGCAAACAATTGGTGTTTTCAACTGGAAAGAGAAGGCTAATCAGAGAGAGGAATGGAGGCGGGTGATATCTGCAGCAATGAACCTCAAGGGCTCAAAATGCTGAAGAAGAAAGAGAAGATGACCTGCTTAATGATTATTGACTCTGTTACCAGCAGACTGTTGATTGTTTCAGCATCATCTTGGTCATAATTATATTGGGCTCAACTATTCCGTTATGTGAGTACCATTTTCATTCTTGGTCGCTATATGTTGCCATATTAGCAGATATAGCAATTATTAATTAATATAATTGTTAATCACTACACCTGTATCATTATTAAAGTGTATATGAAAAGAACATTTTACTCTTTGTCTTCTCCTACTGGCCTTGTATGATTCTGGTGATCTTTCTACCTACAGACAGCACTGTACTGCCAGTGTTTCTGTCATCTTGTCTACCTACAGACAGCACTGTACTGTCAGTGTTTCTGTCATCTTGTCTACCTACAGACAGCACTTCACTGCCAGTGTTTCTGTCATCTTGTCTACCTACAGACAGCACTGCCAGTGTTTGTGTCATCTTGTCTACCTACAGACAGCACTGTACTGTCAGTGTTTCTGTCATCTTGTCTACCTACAGACAGCACTGTACTGTCAGTGTTTCTGTCATCTTGTCTACCTACAGACAGCACTGCCAGTGTTTGTGGTCATCTTGTCTACCTACAGACAGCACTGTACTGTCAGTGTTTGTGTCATCTTGTCTACCTACAGACAGCACTGTACTGTCAGTGTTTCTGTCATCTTGTCTACCTACAGACAGCACTGCCAGTGTTTGTGTCATCTTGTCTACCTACAGACAGCACTGTACTGTCAGTGTTTCTGTCATCTTGTCTACCTACAGACAGCACTGTACTGTCAGTGTTTGTGTCATCTTGTCTACCTACAGACAGCACTGCACTACCAGTGTTTGTGTCATCTTGTCTACCTACAGACAGCACTGTACTGCCAGTGTTTGTGGTCATCTTGTCTACCTACAGACAGCACTGCCAGTGTTTGTGGTCATCTTGTCTACCTACAGACAGCACTGCACTACCAGTGTTTCTGTCATCTTGTCTACCTACAGACAGTACTGTACTGCCAGTGTTTGTGTCATCTTGTCTACCTACAGACAGCACTGTACTGCCAGTGTTTGTGGTCATCTTGTCTACCTACAGACAGCACTGTACTGCCAGTGTTTGTGGTCATCTTGTCTACCTACAGACAGCACTGTACTGCCAGTGTTTGTGGTCATCTTGTTTACCTACAGACAGCACTGTACTGCCAGTGTTTGTGGTCATCTTGTCTACCTACAGACTGTACTGCACTGCCAGTGTTTGTGTCATCTTGTCTACCTACAGACTGTACTGCACTGCCAGTGTTTGTGGTCATCTTGTCTACCTACAGACAGCACTGTACTGCCAGTGTTTGTGGTCATCTTGTCTACCTACAGACAGCACTGTACTGCCAGTGTTTCTGTCATCTTGTCTACCTACAGACAGCACTGTACTGCCAGTGTTTCTGTCATCTTGTCTACCTACAGACAGCACTGCCAGTGTTTCTGTCATCTTGTCTACCTACAGACAGCACTGTACTGCCAGTGTTTGTGATCTGTTGATTTTATGACTCTGTTCTTGTGACTATATGTCTCTGTTCTTGTGACTATATGACTCTGTTCTTGTGACTATATGTCTCTGTTCTTGTGACTGTATGTCTCTTTTCTTGTGACTGTATGTCTCTGTTCTTGTGACTATCTGTCTCTGTTCTTGTGACTGTGTCTCTGTTCTTGTGACTATATGTCTCTGTTCTTGTGACTGTATGTTTGTGTTTTTGTGACTGTATGTCTGTGTTCTTTTGACTGTATTTCTCTGTTCTTGTGACTGTATGTCTCTGTTCTTGTGACTGTATGTCTCTGTTCTTGTGACTGTATGTCTCTGTTTTTGTGACTGTATGTCTCTCTTCTTGTGACTGTATGTCTGTGTTCTTGTGACTGTATGTCTCTGTTCTTGTGACTGTGTGTCTCTGTTCTTGTGACTGTATGTCTCTGTTCTCGTGACTGTGTGTCGCTGTTCTTGTGACTGTATGTCTCTGTTCTTGTGACTGTGTCTCTGTTCTTGTGATTGTATGTCTCTGTTCTTGTGATTGTATGTCTCTGTTCTTGTGACTGTGTGTCTCTGTTCTTGTGACTGTATGTCCTTGTGACTGTATGTCTCTGTTCTTGTGACTGTATGTCTCTGTTCTTGTGACTATATGTCTCTGTTCTTGTGACTGTATGTCTCGGTTCTTGTGACTATATGTCTCGGTTCTTGTGACTGTATGTCTCTGTTCTTGTGACTATATGTCTGTTCTTGTGACTGTATTTCTCTGTTCTTGTGACTGTATGTCTCTGTTCTTATGACTGTATTTCTCTGTTCTTGTGACTGTATGTCTCTGTTCTTGTGACTATGTCTCTGTTCTTGTGACTGTATGTCTCTGTTCTTGTGACTGTATGTCTTCTCTGTTCTTGTGACTGCATGTATCTGTTCTTGTGACTGTATGTCTGGGTTTTTGTGACTGTATTTCTCTGTTCTTGTGACTGTATGTCTGTGTTCTTGTGACTATATGTCTCTGTTCTTGCGACTTTATGTCTCTGTTCTTGTGACTGTATGTCTCTGTTCTGTTGACTTTATGTCTCTGTTCTTGTGACTGTATGTCTCTGTTCTTGTGACTGTATGTCTCTGTTCTTGTGACTGTATGTCTCTGTTCTTATGATATTTTGGCTTTCTTATGATATTTTGGCTTTCTTCTTATGATATTTTGGCTTTCTTTTAATGATATTTTGGCTTTCATCTTATGATATTTTGGCTTTCTTCTTAAGATATTTTAGCTTTCTTATGATATTTTGTCTTTCTTCTTATGATATTTTGGCTTTCTTATGATATTTTGGCTTTCTTATGATATTTTGGCTTTCTTATGATATTTTGGCTTTCTTCTTATGATATTTTGGCTTTCTTATGATATTTTGGCTTTCTTCTTATGATATTTTGGCTTTCTTCTAATGATATTTTGGCTTTCATCTTATAATATTTTGGCTTTCTTCTTATGATATTTTAGCTTTCTTATGATATTTTGTCTTTCTTCTTATGATATTTTGGCTTTCTTATGATATTTTGGCTTTCTTATGATATTTTGGCTTTCTTCTTATGATATTTTGGCTTTCTTCTTATGATATTTTAGCTTTCTTATGATATTTTGGCTTTCTTCTTATGATATTTTGGCTTTCTTTTTTGATATTTTCGCTTTCTTGTTATGATATTTTGGCTGTCTTCTTATGATATTTTGGCTTTCTTATGATATTTTGGCTTTCTTCTTATGATATTTTGGCTTTCTTCTTATGATATTTTGGCTTTCTTTTAATGATATTTTGGCTTTCATCTTATGATATTTTGGCTTTCTTCTTATGATATTTTAGCTTTCTTATGATATTTTGTCTTTCTTCTTATGATATTTTGGCTTTCTTATGATATTTTGGCTTTCTTATGATATTTTGGCTTTCTTATGATATTTTGGCTTTCTTCTTATGATATTTTGGCTTTCTTATGATATTTTGGCTTTCTTCTTATGATATTTTGGCTTTCTTCTAATGATATTTTGGCTTTCATCTTATGATATTTTGGCTTTCTTCTTATGATATTTTAGCTTTCTTATGATATTTTGTCTTTCTTCTTATGATATTTTGGCTTTCTTATGATATTTTGGCTTTCTTATGATATTTTAGCTTTCTTCTTATGATATTTTGGCTTTCTTCTTATGATATTTTAGCTTTCTTATGATATTTTGGCTTTCTTCTTATGATATTTTGGCTTTCTTTTTTGATATTTTCGCTTTCTTGTTATGATATTTTGGCTGTCTTCTTATGATATTTTGGCTTTCTTATGATATTTTGGCTTTCCTCTTATGATTTTTTGGCTTTATTTTTATGATATTTTGGCTTTCTTATGATATTTTGGCTTTCTTCTTATGATATTTTGGCTTTCTTCTTATGATATTTTGGCTTTCTTCTTATGATATTTTGGCTTTCTTCTTATGATATTTTGGCTTTCTTCTTATGATATTTAGGCTTTCTTCTTATGATATTTTGGCTTTCCTCTTATGATATTTTGGCTTTCTTCCTATATTTTGGCTTTATTCTAATGATATTTTGACTTTCTTCTTATGATATTTTGTCTTTCTTATGATATTTTGGCTCCTTTCTTATGATTTTATGGCTGTTTTAATGATTTTATGGCTCTGTTCTTATAACTTGATGGCTCTGTTCACATGACTTTGTCTGTGTTCTGTTGACATTATTTTTCTATTAGCTCTATGTTTCTGTTGTATCGACTTTCACTCTGTTCTGTTGACTATCTATATTCAGTTGACTTTGTCTGTTCTTTTGGTTTTTTTTGTCTCTGTACTATTGACTTTGTCTCTCTATTGTTTTTTTTGTCTCTGTACTATTGACTATGTCTCTGTTCTGTTGACTTTATGTCTCTGTTCTATTGGCTTTATTTCTCGGTTCTGTTGACCTATATTCTCTGTTCTGTCGACCCTATCTCTTTCATATTCTATTGACCTAATACTTATATGTATTGAGCTAATGTCTCTGATCCATTTACTTTATGACTGTTTTATTGACTTTTTATCTCTGTTGCATTGATTTTGTCTGTCTATTCTATGTTATATATTTTCCCTTTTATATTGATTGTATGTCTTTACTCTGTTGATGTCAGTGAAAGAGTCTGCGTTCATCCTGCTACAAACAGTTCCTTCCCATGTCAATGTGGATAATATCATCAAAGAGCTTGAGGAGGTCAGTAAACAACTGTTGTGCATTGTTTTTTACACACACACAAACACACACACGCATAAATATGTTACTGTTTTATTTGAGTTGAGTCAAGAATTGACTCGGGGCATTCCCATGCGTGCTCCGTCCTTCAGCACCCAGCGCAGAGTTCCAACACTGATGGTACCGGTCACAATTTGGTTAACCCTACAGACCTCAGGCCCTAAACCTAACTGTCCCCTATACCTGAGCTCCTGGGCATTACCGCGAAAAAATCAACATGATATACAAAAATATTAGTTACTTGCAAACAAGTGGCTAGAATGAGATGAAACTTGGAGACACTGTAGAAAATAGGTTTACCTTTTATCTAGCGCCAATATTCCACCTTTGTATGCTAATCCACCCAGCAGAATCGACCTTGTTTTACAAAGTGAACACCAGATGTTGCTGTTTGAGGGACACGCCCCCTTCTCCTACTTTCGATCTATTTCTAGATTTATAATTTTCAAGATTCTCCTAATTATTCGAGCTCTCTCACTTTAACTGTGAATGTATTTTTCGTGAAATTATAAAACCGCAGAGTCTGAATCAACAAAAGTTGTTGGACTGTGAAAAGCCTAGACCGACTTCACTTTCCTGTCGAAGTAATCTGGTAATCTGTGCTTCGTTCATCAGCCACTCGTTTTATTGTGAATTTTCAGAATATTTTCACGTAAAACAACACAAATGTTATCCAAACACGTGCGGGCGGACATCCGAGAAGACTATCCACAAGATCTGATTACGATTGGCTAGTTATTTTTAGTTTGAGACGCATTGTTTTCTCATAGTACACAAATTCCTGACATTGAGGGACAGCTGTTTAGCGGCAGGTTAGGAAATGCCCTTAATGTCTGTCTTGCCTTTCCTCTGAAATTAGTAAGCCGGCCAGACCCTCTGGTTACACCCAGGTGCCTCATTCTCTCCAGGCCATAATAATCCCCTTTCTCTACTGATTCCTTGCTTGTTTCCAAAGGAAACATTTGATTAGACTGAGCAAGGTACATTGACACTTGACTACCATCAATCAGGTTCCTTCTCCACATTGACACTAGACTATCATCAATCAGGTTCCTTCTCCACATTGACACTAGACTACCATCAATCAGGTTCCTTCTCCACATTGACACTAGACTACCATCAATCAGGTTCCTTCTCCACATTGACACTAGACTATCATCAATCAGGTTCCTTCTCCATAGTGACACTAGACTACCATCAATCAGGCTCCTTCTCCACATTGACACTAGACTACTATCAATCAGGTTCCTTCTCCACATTGACACTAGACTACCATCAATCAGGTTCCTTCTCCACATTGACACTAGACTACCATCAATCAGGTTCCTTCTCCACAGTGACACTAGACTACCATCAATCAGGTTCCTTCTCCATATTGACACTAGACTACCATCAATCAGGTTCCTTCTCCACATTGACACTAGACTACCATCAATCAGGTTCCTTCTCCACATTGACACTAGACTACCATCAATCAGGCTCCTTCTCCACATTGACACTAGACTACCACCAATCAGGTTCCTTCTCCACATTGACACTAGACTACCATCAATCAGGTTCCTTGTCCATATTGACACTAGACTACCATCAATCAGGTTCCTTCTCCACATTGACACTAGACTACCATCAATCAGGTTCCTTGTCCGCATTGACACTAGACTACCATCAATCAGGTTCCGTGTCCACAGTGACACTAGACTACCATCAATCAGGTTCCTTGTCCACATTGACACTAGACTACCATCAATCAGGTTCCTTCTCCACATTGACACTAGACTACCATCAACCAGGTTCCTTCTCCATATTGACACTAGACTACCATCAGTCAGGTTCCTTGTCCACAGTGACACTAGACTACCATCAGTCAGGTTCCTTCTCCACATTGACACTAGACTACCATCAGTCAGGTTCCTTCTCCACAGTGACACTAGACTACCATCAATCAGGTTCCTTCTCCACAGTGACACTAGACTACCATCAATCAGGCTCCTTCTCCACATTGACACTAGACTACCATCAGTCAGGTTCCTTCTCCACAATGACACTAGACTACCATCAATCAGGTTCCTTCTCCACATTGACACTAGACTATCATCAATCAGGCTCCTTCTCCGCATTGACACTAGACTACCATCAGTCAGGTTCCTTCTCCACAATGACACTAGACTACCATCAATCAGGTTCCTTCTCCACATTGACACTAGACTACCATCAGTCAGGTTCCTTGTCCACAGTGACACTAGACTACCATCAATCAGGTTCCTTGTCCACATTGACACTAGACTACCATCAATCAGGTTCCTTGTCCACATTGACACTAGACTACCATCAGTCAGGTTCCTTGTCCACAGTGACACTAGACTACCATCAATCAGGCTCCTTCTCCACATTGACACTAGACTACCATCAATCAGGCTCCTTCTCCACATTGACACTAGACTACTATCAATCAGGCTCCTTCTCCACATTGACACTAGACTACCATCAGTCAGGCTCCTTCTCCACATTGACACTAGACTACTATCAATCAGGCTCCTTCTCCACATTGACACTAGACTACCATCAGTCAGGCTCCTTCTCCACATTGACACTAGACTACCATCAATCAGGTTCCTTGTCCATAGTGACACTAGACTACCATCAATCAGGCTCCTTCTCCACATTGACACTAGACTACCATCAATCAGGTTCCTTCTCCACATTGACACTAGACTACCATCAATCAGGCTCCTTCTCCACATTGACACTAGACTACCATCAATCAGGCTCCTTCTCCACATTGACACTAGACTACCATCAATCAGGCTCCTTCTCCACATTGACACTAGACTACCATCAGTCAGGCTCCTTCTCCACATTGACACTAGACTACCATCAATCAGGTTCCTTGTCCATAGTGACACTAGACTACCATCAATCAGGCTCCTTCTCCACATTGACACTAGACTACCATCAATCAGGTTCCTTCTCCACATTGACACTAGACTATCATCAATCAGGTTCTTTCTCCACAGTGACATTAGACTACCATCAATCAGGTTCCTTCTCCACATTGACACTAGACTACCATCAATCAGGCTCCTTCTCCACAGTGACATTAGACTACCATCAATCAGGCTCCTTCTCCACAGTGACAGTTGGCTACCATGTACTCAGTGTTAGAGTCCTCCCACTTGTACCTTTACCGACTTATTGCTAACACAGTACATCCCAGCAAGAGAAAGCTAAAGCTAGCATATATCATCTATCTGATGATCCTGTTCATTCTAAAACTTTAAAAAATTTTTTTTTAAGAAAAGTTAATTTTGACTCAAATTAAAAAGAACAGTGAAGAAAATAATCTATTTCTGAATCTGAAAAGTACACACACACAAAAACAACGAAACAAATGTCCACAATGAATACAGCACATCAATGATGTATTAAAATTGACATTGAAGAGATTGTAAATGTCACAAATGTGAAATATTTAGGCTTAGTAACGAAGAACAGCAGTCGCCACTGCACAAGAAGTCAGAAAAAGACTTGCTTTAGCTATGCAAAGGTTAAATAACATGAAGAACCTACGGCGTGGTGCCTGCAAGCTGGTTAACACAAAAGTTTTGAGATCATGCATCTCTTCCATGCAACATATGGATTTAAGTCATGGACTCTCACTTAGTCTTTGAAGTGGACACTCACTCAGTCTTTGAATTGGACTCTCACTCAGTCTTTGAATTGGACTCTCACTCAGTCTTTGAAGTGGACACTCACTTAGTCTTTGAAGTGGACTCTCACTCAGTCTTTGAAGTGGACTCTCACTTAGTCTTTGAAGTGGACTCTCACTTAGTCTTTAAAGTGGACTCTCACTTAGTCTTTGAAGTGGACTCTCACTCAGTCTTTGAAGTGGACACTCACTCAGTCTTTGAAGTGGACTCTCACTTAGTCTTTGAAATGGACACTCACTCAGTCTTTGAAGTGGACTCTCACTCAGTCTTTGAAGTGGACTCTCACTTAGTCTTTGAAGTGGACACTCACTCAGTCTTTGAAGTGGACTCTCACTTAGTCTTTGAAGTGGACTCTCTCAGTCTTTGAAGTGGACTCTCACTTAGTCTTTAAAGTGGACTCTCACTCAGTCTTTGAAGTGGACTCTCACTTAGTCTTTGAAGTGGACTCTTACTTAGTCTTTGAAGTGGACACTCACTCAGTCTTTGAAGTGGACACTCACTTAGTCTTTGAAGTGGACTCTCACTCAGTCTTTGAAGTGGACACTCACTCAGTCTTTGAAGTGGACTCTCACTTAGTCTTTGAAGTGGACTCTCACTTAGTCTTTGAAGTGGACTCTCACTCAGTCTTTGAAGTGGACACTCACTCAGTCTTTGAAGTGGACTCTCACTTAGTCTTTGAAGTGGACTCTTACTCAGTCTTTGAAGTGGACTCTCACTCAGTCTTTGAAGTGGACTCTCACTTAGTCTTTGAAGTGGACTCTCACTCAGTCTTTGAAGTGGACTCTCACTCAGTCTTTGAAGTGGACTCTCACTTAGTCTTTGAAGTGGACTCTCACTTAGTCTTTGAAGTGGACTCTTACTCAGTCTTTGAAGTGGACTCTCACTCAGTCTTTGAAGTGGACTCTCACTCAGTCTTTGAAGTGGGCTCTCACTCAGTCTTTGAAGTGGACTCTTACTCAGTCTTTGAAGTGGACTCTCACTCAGTCTTTGAAGTGGACTCTCACTCAGTCTTTGAAGTGGACTCTCACTCAGTCTTTGAAGTGGACTCTTACTCAGTCTTTGAAGTGGACTCTCACTCAGTCTTTGAAGTGGACTCTCACTCAGTCTTTGAAGTGGACTCTCACTCAGTCTTTGAAGTAGACTCTCACTCAGTCTTTGAAGTGGACTCTTACTCAGTCTTTGAAGTGGACTCTCACTCAGTCTTTGAAGTGGACTCTCACTCAGTCTTTGAAGTGGACTCTCACTCAGTCTTTGAAGTGGACTCTTACTCAGTCTTTGAAGGAAAAACAAATCAGTTTCTGAAGTGAAGTGCTACAGAAAAATTCTTAGAATACCGTGGACCATGTAGAACAACAACATTGACATCCTGCATGTCCTGAATGTTAAGGAGAACTGGCTCATAACCGCATCTCCTGCAAGCTGGGATATTGTGAACATGTCAAGCGCCGTGGTATTCTGTCAGTCCATCATTGCTCTATTTTCAAAGTTTCTAAGTGCTGGAGCTCTTTATGAGGACAATCTGCCAGAAACTTTTCTTCATGACCAAACCATCTGACAAAATAACATAAAAACTAGGTTTCATATTTTGTTTGTCTAAGATACACGCTGTCTCTCTCCAGATGGAGGGTATCTACGGAGTTCATGAGTGCCATATTTGTCTAAGATACACACTGTCTCTCCCCAGATGGAGGGCATCTATGGAGTTCATGAGTGCCATATTTGTCTAAGATACACGCTGTCTCTCCCCAGATGGAGGGCATCTATGGAGTTCATGAGTGCCATATTTGTCTAAGATACACGCTGTCTCTCCCCAGATGGAGGGCATCTACGGAGTTCATGAGTGCCATATTTGTCTAAGATACATGCTGTCTCTCCCCAGATGGAGGGCATCTATGGAGTTCTTGAGTGCCATATTTGTCTAAGATACACACTGTCTCTCCCCAGATGGAGGGCATCTATGGAGTTCATGAGTGCCAAATTTGTCTAAGATACACGCTGTCTCTCCCCAGATGGAGGGCATCTATGGAGTTAATGAGTGCCATATTTGTCTAAGATACACGCTGTCTCTCCCCAGATGGAGGGCATCTATGAAGTTCATGAGTGCCATATTTGTCTAAGATACACGCTGTCTCTCCCCAGATGGAGGGCATCTATGGAGTTCATGAGTGCCATATTTGTCTAAGATACACACTGTCTCTCCACAGATGGAGGGTATCTACGGAGTTCATGAGTGCCATATTTGTCTAAGATACACACTGTCTCTCCCCAGATGGAGGGTATCTACGGAGTTCATGAGTGCCATATTTGTCTAAGATACACGCTGTCTCTCCCCAGATGGAGGGTATCTACGGAGTTCATGAAGTGGACTCTCACTTAGTCTTTGAAGTGGACTCTTACTCAGTCTTTGAAGTGGACTCTCACTCAGTCTTTGAAGTGGACTCTCACTCAGTCTTTGAAGTGGACTCTCACTCAGTCTTTGAATTGCACTCTCACTCAGTCTTTGAAGGAAAAACAAATCAGTTTCTGAAGTGAAGTGCTACAGAAAAATTCTTAGAATACCGTGGACCATGTAGAACAACAACATTGACATCCTGCATGTCCTGAATGTTAAGGAGAACTGGCTCATAACCGCATCTCCTGCAAGCTGGGATATTGTGAACATGTCAAGCGCCATGGTATTCTGTCAGTCCATCATTGCTCTATTTTCAAAGTTTCTAAGTGCTGGAGCTCTTTATGAGGATAATCTGCCAGAAACTTTTCTTCATGACCAAACCATCTGACAAAATAACATAAAAACTAGGTTTCATATTTTATTTGTCTAAGATACACGCTGTCTCTCTCCAGATGGAGGGTATCTACGGAGTTCATGAGTGCCATATTTGTCTAAGATACACACTGTCTCTCCCCAGATGGAGGGCATCTATGGAGTTCATGAGTGCCATATTTGTCTAAGATACACGCTGTCTCTCCCCAGATGGAGGGCATCTATGGAGTTCATTAGTGCCATATTTGTCTAAGATACACGCTGTCTCTCCCCAGATGGAGGGCATCTACGGAGTTCATGAGTGCCATATTTGTCTAAGATACATGCTGTCTCTCCCCCAGATGGAGGGCATCTATGGAGTTCATGAGTGCCATATTTGTCTAAGATACACACTGTCTCTCCCCAGATGGAGGGCATCTATGGAGTTCATGAGTGCCAAATTTGTCTAAGATACACGCTGTCTCTCCCCAGATGGAGGGCATCTATGGAGTTAATGAGTGCCATATTTGTCTAAGATACACGCTGTCTCTCCCCAGATGGAGGGCATCTATGGAGTTAATGAGTGCCATATTTGTCTAAGATACACGCTGTCTCTCCACAGATGGAGGGTATCTACGGAGTTCATGAGTGCCATATTTGTCTAAGATACACACTGTCTCTCCCCAGATGGAGGGTATCTACGGAGTTCATGAGTGCCATATTTGTCTAAGATACACGCTGTCTCTCCCCAGATGGACGGCATCTATGGAGTTCATGAGTGCCATATTTGTCTAAGATACACACTGTCTCTCCCCAGATGGAGGGCATCTATGGAGTTCATGAGTGCCATATTTGTCTAAGATACACGCTGTCTCTCCACAGATGGAGGGTATCTACGGAGTTCATAAGTGCCATATTTGTCTAAGATACACACTGTCTCTCCCCAGATGGATGGTATCTACGGAGTTCATGAGTGCCATATTTGTCTAAGATACACGCTGTCTCTCCCCAGATGGAGGGTATCTATGGAGTTCATGAGTGCCATATTTGTCTAAGATACACACTGTCTCTCTCCAGATGGAGGGTATCTACGGAGTTCATGAGTGCCATATTTGTCTAAGATACACGCTTTCTCTCTCCAGATGGAGGGTATCTATGGAGTTCATAAGTGCCATATTTGTCTAAGATACACACTGTCTCTCCCCAGATAGAGGGCATCTATAGAGTTCATGAGTGCCATATTTGTCTAAGATACACGCTGTCTCTCTTCAGATGGAGGGCATCTATAGAGTTCATGAGTGCCATATTTGTCTAAGATACACGCCGTCTCTCCCCAGATGGAGGGTATCTATGGAGTTCATGAGTGCCATATTTGTCTAAGATACACACTGTCTCTCCAGATGGAGGGCATCTATGGAGTTCATGAGTGCCGGATTTGTCTAAGATACACGCTGTCTCTCCCTAGATGGAGGGCATCTATGGAGTTCATGAGTGCCATATTTGTCTAAGATACACGCTGTCTCTCCCCAGATGGAGGGCATCTATGGAGTTCATGAGTGCCATATTTGGCAACTGGCAGGAAACAGAATCATAGCCTCAGCGCACATTCGCTGTCATGGCATTGAGGAGTACATGACCCTGGCGGCAAATATTAAAAAACTGTTTCATAAATCTGGCATACATTCCACCACCATCCAACCAGAATTTATCGATGTAAGTGATGTTTTGTTGCTGCTGTGCCAATCTATTTTGTCAAAACCCCTTTATCAACCAGTAGAATATCAGCTGTTTGCCATCACATGCAGCCCATTCTGTATGACTTCCGGTCCAAACTGGAGGACTAGACATGACAGAATCTTTAAGTTATTTTTGCTTCCGACAGGACTTTGCTAATGCAGTTTTCACATATTGACGGAAGTCTGTGGTTTCGGTGCCTGAGCTACAGTTGAGTGCTTATTGCAGCACTGTGAGCTGTGTTTTCTCCATGTGGAATGCCTTTCATTTGTGTAGCGGCTGGTTTGTGGTATTCAGTTTGACTGGTAGCCGGTTAACTTTTTAGGCTGGTGAAATACAATATGTTATAATTTTATGTGTGAATAGCCAAATCATTGTGACTGACTGCTTCCATCAACAAACTGCATTTCTGGCGGCAACTGTTAGCTTTGGTGCCTCTAGTAACTGCTGTATGGATTTACTGCACATGCACATTTTTGGATTATGCCTCGACTAACTGTTTGTTCCTTAGTTTTTCAAATGAGACAGTGAGGGACATTCTATTTGATGGTTACTGGCACAGGAACAGAGCAAGTATGGGGTGACCCGATTGCAGTGAGGTTGAAACCTCGACTAAGACTGAGTCTTTCCATCTTATACACCTGTATGAATTTCTCTTGTCACATATATCTTTGGTCTCCTTTTTCTTTCTTTGCCCAGCAGGTTCAAGTGCAAGGGCTTTCTAGTTATATTATTGTTTAATTTTTTTCACTGTGTCCTTCCAGCGCCAATGACTTGTCCTCACCTTTTGATTCACTTGAGTTTTGTTTGGTTTTTTCCTTTCCCAAAGCTACATTTATGTGATTCTGTAATATATTTAAATTTTTATATTTTAATGAATGTCTGGTTTATTAATAATTGTTTGAGTAGTTCTTCATGGTTCTGTTCCACTGGTTAATGGCTAATAGAATCAAGTTATGATTGGCCATTGCAGCATACGTTTTAAAAAAGGGTTAGTAAAAGTAGCAAGGCCGTCTCATAAAGTGCTGACTGACATGGTTTAACTTTTCACTGCTAACTGTTACTCTTACTCTGATTGTCTATTCATGTATTGATATCTTTCAATGCCTCAGTACAAATCTGTTTAGTGTCTGTTCTCTTTGTTACTTTCTGCCTCTTACCTGTCAATTATTACCAAATATTCTTGTTTTTCTGTTATGTAAGGCTAAACAGTGTTATTTATGTCTAATGTGTAGGACAAACCTTCATCTAATCGAGTCTGTAAGAACATCTGCGTAACTGGTTTGTGACTCCTGAGTGTTATTAATATTCTTCTCTAAAATCATATCTTAACATAATGTGAGAAGACCAGTGACGTATGATAATTACTGTTAGTGCATCATATGTTATGGTATTTGAAGACCAGTGACAGATGATAATTATTGTGTCCATCGTATGGTATAGTATTTGAAGACCAGTGACGGATGATAATTATTATTAGTCCATTGTATGGTATAATATTTGAAGACCAGTGATGGATGATAATTATTGTTAGTCCATTGTATGGTATAATATTTGAAGACCAGTGATGGATGATAATTATTGTTAGTCCATTGTATGGTATGGTATTTGAAGACCAGTGTCAGATGATAATTACTGTTAGTCCATTGTATGGTATGGTATTTGAAGACCAGTGATGGATGATAATTACTGTTAGTCCATCGTATTTTATGGTATTTAAAGACCAGTGTCAGATGATAATTACTGTTAGTCCATTGTATGGTATGGTATTTGAAGACCAGTGTCAGATGATAATTACTGTTAGTCCATTGTATGGTATGGTATTTGAAGACCAGTGTCAGATGATAATTATTGTTAGTCCATTGTATGGTATGGTATTTGAAGACCAGTGTCAGATGATAATTACTGTTAGTCCATCGTATTTTATGGTATTTGAAGACCAGTGTCAGATGATAATTACTGTTAGTCCATTGTATGGTATGGTATTTGAAGACCAGTGTCAGATGATAATTATTGTTAGTCCATTATATGGTATGGTATTTGAAGACCAGTGTCAGATGATAATTACTGTTAGTCCATCGTATTTTATGGTATTTGAAGACCAGTGTCAGATGATAATTACTGTTAGTCCATTGTATGGTATGGTATTTGAAGACCAGTGTCAGATGATAATTACTGTTAGTCCATTGTATGGTATGGTATTTGAAGACCAGTGTCAGATGATAATTATTGTTAGTCCATTGTATGGTATGGTATTTGAAGACCAGTGTCAGATGATAATTATTGTTAGTCCATTGTGTGGTATAATATTTGAAGACCAGTGTCAGATGATAATTACTGTTAGTCCATCGTATGGTATGGTATTTGAAGACCAGTGTCATATGATAATTACTGTTAGTCCATTGTATGGTATGGTATTTGAAGACCAGTGATGGATGATAATTACTGTTAGTCCATTGTATGGTATAATATTTGAAGACCAGTGTCAGATGATAATTACTGTTAGTCCATTGTATGGTATGGTATTTGAAGACCAGTGTCAGATGATAATTATTGTTAGTCCATTGTATGGTATGGTATTTGAAGACCAGTGTCAGATGATAATTATTGTTAGTCCATTGTGTGGTATAATATTTGAAGACCAGTGTCAGATGATAATTACTGTTAGTCCATCGTATGGTATGGTATTTGAAGACCAGTGTCATATGATAATTACTGTTAGTCCATTGTATGGTATGGTATTTGAAGACCAGTGATGGATGATAATTACTGTTAGTCCATTGTATGGTATAATATTTGAAGACCAGTGTCAGATGATAATTACTGTTAGTCCATTGTATGGTATGGTATTTGAAGACCAGTGTCAGATGATAATTATTGTTAGTCCATTGTATGGTATGGTATTTGAAGACCAGTGTCAGATGATAATTATTGTTAGTCCATCGTATGGTATAATATTTGAAGACCAGTGACAGATGATAATTATTGTTAGTCCATCGTATGGTATAATATTTGAAGACCAGTGACAGATGATAATTACTGTTAGTCCATCGTATGGTATAATATTTGAAGACCAGTGACAGATGATAATTACTGTTAGTCCATTGTATGGTATGGTATTTCAAGACCAGTGTCAGATGATAATTACTGTTAGTCCATCGTATGGTACAGTGCCATTAGTGTCAGATCATAATTACTGTTAGTCCATCGTATGGTATAATATTTGAAGACCAGTGACAGATGATAATTACTGTTAGTCCATCGTATGGTATAATATTTGAAGACCAGTGTCAGATGATAATTACTGTTAGTCCATTGTATGGTATAATATTTGAAGACCAGTGATGGATGATAATTACTGTTAGTCCATCGTATTTTATGGTATTTAAAGACCAGTGACAGATGATAATTACTGTTAGTCCATTGTATGGTATAATATTTGAAGACCAGTGACAGATGATAATTACTGTTAGTCCATTGTATGGTATGGTATTTGAAGACCAGTGACAGATGATAATTATTGTTAGTCCATCGTATGGTATGGTATTTGAAGACCAGTGTCAGATGATAATTACTGTTAGTCCATTGTATGGTATGGTATTTGAAGACCAGTGTCAGATGATAATTATTGTTAGTCCATTGTATGGTATGGTATTTGAAGACCAGTGTCAGATGATAATTATTGTTAGTCCATTGTATGGTATGGTATTTGAAGACCAGTGTCAGATGATAATTATTGTTAGTCCATTGTGTGGTATAATATTTGAAGACCAGTGTCAGATGATAATTACTGATAGTCCATTGTATGGTATGGTATTTGAAGACCAGTGTCAGATGATAATTACTGTTAGTCCATTGTATGGTATGGTATTTGAAGACCAGTGTCAGATGATAATTACTGTTAGTCCATTGTATGGTATGGTATTTGAAGACCAGTGTCATATGATAATTACTGTTAGTCCATCGTATGGTATGGTATTTGAAGACCAGTGACAGATGATAATTACTGTTAGTCCATCGTATGGTATGGTATTTGAAGACCAGTGTCAGATGATAATTACTGTTAGTCCATTGTATGGTATGGTATTTGAAGACCAGTGTCAGATGATAATTACTGTTAGTCCATTGTATGGTATGGTATTTGAAGACCAGTGTCATATGATAATTACTGTTAGTCCATCGTATGGTATGGTATTTGAAGACCAGTGACATATGATAATTACTGTTAGTCCATCGTATGGTATGGTATTTGAAGACCAGTGTCAGATGATAATTACTGTTAGTCCATTGTATGGTATAATATTTGAAGACCAGTGACAGATGATAATTACTGTTAGTCCATCGTATGGTATGGTATTTGAAGACCAGTGTCAGATGATAATTACTGTTAGTCCATTGTATGGTATAATATTTGAAGACCAGTGACATATGATAATTACTGTTAGTCCATCGTATGGTATGGTATTTGAAGACCAGTGTCAGATGATAATTACTGTTAGTCCATTGTATGGTATAATATTTGAAGACCAGTGACAGATGATAATTACTGTTAGTCCATCGTATGGTATGGTATTTGAAGACCAGTGTCAGATGATAATTACTGTTAGTCCATCGTATGGTATAATATTTGAAGACCAGTGACAGATGATAATTACTGTTAGTCCATCGTATGGTATGGTATTTGAAGACCAGTGTCAGATGATAATTACTGTTAGTCCATCGTATGGTATAATATTTGAAGACCAGTGACAGATGATAATTACTGTTAGTCCATCGTATGGTATAATATTTGAAGACCAGTGACAGATGATAATTACTGTTAGTCCATCGTATGGTATGGTATTTGAAGACCAGTGTCAGATGATAATTACTGTTAGTCCATTGTATGGTATGGTATTTGAAGACCAGTGTCAGATGATAATTACTGTTAGTCCATCGTATGGTATGGTATTTGAAGACCAGTGTCAGATGATAATTACTGTTAGTCCATCGTATGGTATGGTATTTGAAGACCAGTGTCAGATGATAATTACTGTTAGTCCATCGTATGGTATGGTATTTGAAGACCAGTGTCAGATGATAATTACTGTTAGTCCATCGTATGGTATGGTATTTGAAGACCAGTGTCAGATGATAATTACTGTTAGTCCATCGTATGGTATGGTATTTGAAGACCAGTGTCAGATGATAATTACTGTTAGTCCATCGTATGGTATGGTATTTGAAGACCAGTGTCAGATGATAATTACTGTTAGTCCATCCTATGATATGGTATTTGAAGACCAGTGTCAGATGATAATTACTGTTAGTCCATCCTATGATATGGTATTTGAAGACCAGTGTCAGATGATAATTATTGTTAGTCCATTGTATGGTATGGTATTTGAAGACCAGTGTCAGATGATAATTACTGTTAGTCCATTGTATGGTATGGTATTTGAAGACCAGTGTCAGATGATAATTATTGTTAGTCCATTGTATGGTATGGTATTTGAAGACCAGTGTCAGATGATAATTACTGTTAGTCCATCGTATGATATGGTATTTGAAGACCAGTGTCAGATGATAATTATTGTTAGTCCATTGTATGGTATGGTATTTGAAGACCAGTGTCAGATGATAATTACTGTTAGTCCATCCTATGATATGGTATTTGAAGACCAGTGTCAGATGATAATTACTGTTAGTCCATCCTATGATATGGTATTTGAAGACCAGTGTCAGATGATAATTACTGTTAGTCCATCCTATGATATGGTATTTGAAGACCAGTGTCAGATGATAATTATTGTTAGTCCATTGTATGGTATGGTATTTGAAGACCAGTGTCAGATGATAATTACTGTTAGTCCATCCTATGATATGGTATTTGAAGACCAGTGTCAGATGATAATTACTGTTAGTCCATCCTATGATATGGTATTTGAAGACCAGTGTCAGATGATAATTACTGTTAGTCCATCCTATGATATGGTATTTGAAGACCAGTGTCAGATGATAATTACTGTTAGTCCATCCTATGATATGGTATTTGAAGACCAGTGTCAGATGATAATTACTGTTAGTCCATCCTATGATATGGTATTTGAAGACCAGTGTCAGATGATAATTATTGTTAGTCCATTGTATGGTATGGTATTTGAAGACCAGTGTCAGATGATAATTACTGTTAGTCCATCCTATGATATGGTATTTGAAGACCAGTGTCAGATGATAATTACTGTTAGTCCATCCTATGATATGGTATTTGAAGACCAGTGTCAGATGATAATTACTGTTAGTCCATCCTATGATATGGTATTTGAAGACCAGTGTCAGATGATAATTACTGTTAGTCCATCCTATGATATGGTATTTGAAGACCAGTGTCAGATGATAATTACTGTTAGTCCATCCTATGATATGGTATTTGAAGACCAGTGTCAGATGATAATTACTGTTAGTCCATTGTATAGTACAGTGCCATCAGTGTTGTTTCTGTGCAAGGTATAGTGTTCAGTGCTCTGCCTTCTCACAGGCTTCTTCTTATAGTTGATGCTGTTGGTAACCATATCTGTTTTCTCTTCTCTCTCATGTGCAGCATTTTTTATTACGCATATCCCTCTGTGCCATGATGCCAAAATATTTAACACCTTATCTTTCTCTGCGTCTCTTCCACTCCAACATTTCTGCCATCAAGTGTACTCTCGTTTTCCCATTTCCCATGATGTGTCCAAAAAAATGTGGTTGTTTTCTTTTAACACTGATAACCAGTTTTCCTTGTTGGGCATTACCTTTCATTACACATTTGTGTTTATCTTTCCAAGTTGTTCTCATCATTGTTCATTGACCGCGCATCTCTTTGGCTTCCTCACTGGCACTGCTGTAGTTACAAAATATGAAATGGATACACCAGGCTGCAGTCCACAATCACCCTCAATGTTTCAGCTTTTCAGACTATTTCTTTTTGTGCCCATTAACATAATAGTAACTCTTTCTATACCAAACAGCCGGCATGGTAATTGTTGATGCCTGTTTACATAATATACGTTTCTCATCTCCTTGTGTCTCATCCAGTTATTATAATATTCGACTCTACCCCAGTTGCTACTTCTTCTTTGTTCACCAACTGTAAGCTAAAGTGGAAAGTCAGAAAAAAAAACAAGAATAGACCAACTGCCTCCAAAAAAACAAAAACAAAAACTTGTCTTAAGAGGCGACTAATTAAGAGCTTCCTTCAAAGATGGATTACCTGAGTGGCAAACAACAACCAACTGCACACAAATAAGCAGGTGAAATGTATGTACACACAAAACTCAGGCCCTGGCACAAACCTTAAGACCAAATGGAGCTTACAGATGTTAAACAAAGAAGAAGTATGTCCGTCTCACCTTTCCCTTGAGCACTGATCATAAACCAGATTTCCTGGTCACTCTTTGCAGAGCTATTCTCTTAAGACTGTGATAATCCACCACTGCTTCACATATTAGGGTTGAATTCTAATTGTGGAATTTCACTGATGATGTGAATTCTACGTGTTTTGTTGCTGATAATTTGATTTCTAATAATTTTATATCGCTGATATTGTGAATTCTAATAATATTATCTCACCAATATTGTTAATTCTGATAATTGTATCTTTGCAATAATGTGAGCTCACATTGCAGTATCATGATCGGCATGCCGAACACAAACCCTGTGTGCTGGTATGTGATGGCATCGGAGAGCACTGCAGGAGTAACACATGTTGTGGGGACAAGCTCAGCAAACAAAACAATGCAAACAACTCAACTGACAAATCTGTCGGCAGCTCGGCCAAACGATTTTTCAACATGAACAACTGCAACAGTGTTCAACCTGGAGCGGCAAGCATTCGAAGCCTGGACATGAAGTTCAGCCGTGATGGGGATGAGGTTGTCCTGGAGATGTTTGACACAAGGAAGGCTGTGATTGCCGCAGCACATGGAACTCGTACTCAGGCTTGTCTCTGTGGGGATGTCACCACTCTGGGGGATCATTCTCTACCAGCGTCCACTTGAACAAAGTGGGGCTGGTACAGCAGAACCCAATGGTTTCTTCCAGTGTGAGTGAAGTGTAGAAATGTGAAATATCCAGGCTCAGGTTGTGTAAATGTTTTGGGCGGGTTTTAGGTTGTCTGAATTTTTTATCTGTGAAACTAGTCATCATCATCATTTTCTTCTTCTACTTCTTCCTCCTCCTCCTCTTCTTCTTCCTCCTCCTCATCCTCTTCTTCTTTTTTCTTATCCTCCTCTTCTTTTTCCCCTCCTCCTCTTCTATGTTTGTCCTTAAATAATATGGTGGTGCCTAGTGTTGTTTGTTTACAGCTTTCAGTCCTGACACATCCTGTTTCTGCAAGCGCTCAATTAGTCATCTTTAAAGATCTGCTAGTTGATGGGCAGTGGGTCTGTTCTTTTGTTGCCCAAACTGATGCCCCAGAACCCACATAGAGAAAACTAGTCACATTAATGTGGTCGTTCGTAACCATGTACGAACATGGCTAACAGTGTCTGAGCAGTTGGTTGCCAGTTGAAAGCTTTGAGACTTTTCCATGATGTGTTTATAGGAAGAATTTTGCAAGTTGAGTTGCGATTTAGAGGTTGTCTTTTTTCCCCCTTTGTTTCATTGAGACTTGAAAAGACTTATTTGTCCTTTACACATCTCGCACATGCAAAATCTGCTGGCAAATAAATAGATATGTTAGCCCAGGTACACACATACAAATATATACATAGATTGATGAACGCATGTACAGACAGAAAAATGTATACACAGACATTTAAACACATGTACACACATATGAGACAGCTGTGCATAGGTACACACAGACAGCTATACACATGTACAGAGACCACTGTACACATACACACAAGGACTGTTGTACACATGCACACACAGGGACTGTTGTACACATGTACACACACAGAGACCACTGTACACATGCACACACAGAGACCATTGTACACATACACACACAGGGGCCGCTGTACACGTTTACACACAGAGACCACTGTATACATGCACACACAGGGACCATTGTATACATACACACACAGAGACCACTGTATACATACACACACAGGGACCACTGTATACATACACACACAGAGACCACTGTATACATACACACACAGAGACCACTGTATACATACACACACAGGGACCACTGTATACATACACACACAGGGACCACTGTATACATACACACACAGGGACCACTGTATACATACACACACAGAGACCATTGTATACATACACACACAGAGACCATTGTATACATACACACACAGAGACCATTGTATACATACACACACAGAGACCACTGTATACATACACACACAGAGACCATTGTATACATACACACACAGGGACCATTGTATACATACACACACAGAGACTGCTGTATACATACACACACAGAGACCATTGTATACATACACACACAGAGACCACTGTATACATACACACACAGAGACCATTGTATACATACACACACAGAGACTGCTGTATACATACACACACAGAGACTGCTGTATACATACACACACAGAGACCATTGTATACATACACACACAGAGACTGCTGTATACATACACACACAGAGACCATTGTATACATACACACACAGAGACCACTGTATACATACACACACAGAGACCACTGTATACATACACACACACAGACCATTGTATACATACACACACAGAGACCACTGTATACATACACACACAGAGACCATTGTATACATACACACACAGAGACCACTGTATACATACACACACAGAGACCACTGTATACATACACACACAGAGACCACTGTATACATACACACACAGGGACCATTGTATACATACACACACAGAGACCATTGTATACATACACACACAGAGACCACTGTATACATACACACACAGGGACCATTGTATACATACACACACAGAGACCATTGTATACATACACACACAGAGACCACTGTATACATACACACACAGAGACCACTGTATACATACACACACAGGGACTGCTGTATACATACACACACAGAGACCACTGTATACATACACACACAGAGACTGCTGTATACATACACACACAGGGACTGCTGTATACATACACACACAGGGACCATTGTATACATACACACACAGAGACCACTGTATACATACACACACAGGGACCATTGTATACATACACACACAGAGACCATTGTATACATACACACACAGAGACCACTGTATACATACACACACAGAGACCACTGTATACATACACACACAGGGACTGCTGTATACATACACACACAGAGACCACTGTATACATACACACACAGAGACTGCTGTATACATACACACACAGGGACTGCTGTATACATACACACACAGGGACCACTGTATACATACACACACAGAGACCACTGTATACATACACACACAGAGACTGCTGTATACATACACACACAGGGACTGCTGTATACATACACACACAGAGACTGCTGTATACATACACACACAGGGACTGCTGTATACATACACACACAGAGACTGCTGTATACATACACACACAGGGACTGCTGTATACATACACACACAGAGACCACTGTATACATACACACACAGAGACCACTGTATACATACACACACAGGGACCACTGTATACATACACACACAGAGACCACTGTATACATACACACACAGGGACCACTGTATACATACACACACAGGGACCACTGTATACATACACACACAGAGACCACTGTATACATACACACACAGAGACCATTGTATACATACACACACAGAGACCATTGTATACATACACACACAGAGACCATTGTATACATACACACACAGAGACCATTGTATACATACACACACAGGGACCAGTGTATACATACACACACAGAGACCATTGTATACATACACACACAGAGACCACTGTATACATACACACACAGGGACCACTGTATACATACACACACAGGGACCATTGTATACATACACACACAGAGACCACTGTATACATACACACACAGAGACCATTGTATACATACACACACAGAGACCACTGTATACATACACACACAGAGACCATTGTATACATACACACACAGAGACCATTGTATACATACACACACAGAGACCACTGTATACATACACACACAGAGACCATTGTATACATACACACACAGAGACCATTGTATACATACACACACAGAGACCATTGTATACATACACACACAGAGACCACTGTATACATACACACACAGAGACTGCTGTATACATACACACACAGGGACCATTGTATACATACACACACAGAGACCACTGTATACATACACACACAGGGACCATTGTATACATACACACACAGGGACCATTGTATACATACACACACAGAGACCACTGTATACATACACACACAGAGACCACTGTATACATACACACACAGAGACTGCTGTATACATACACACACAGAGACCATTGTATACATACACACACAGAGACTGCTGTATACATACACACACAGAGACCATTGTATACATACACACACAGAGACTGCTGTATACATACACACACAGGGACCATTGTATACATACACACACAGAGACCATTGTATACATACACACACAGAGACCACTGTATACATACACACACAGGGACCATTGTATACATACACACACAGAGACCATTGTATACATACACACACAGAGACCACTGTATACATACACACACAGGGACCATTGTATACATACACACACAGAGACCATTGTATACATACACACACAGAGACCATTGTATACATACACACACAGAGACCATTGTATACATACACACACAGAGACCATTGTATACATACACACACAGAGACCACTGTATACATACACACACAGAGACCATTGTATACATACACACACAGGGACCATTGTATACATACACACACAGAGACCACTGTATACATACACACACAGAGACCATTGTATACATACACACACAGAGACTGATGTATACATACACACAGAGGGACCATTGTATACATACACACACAGAGACTGCTGTATACATACACACACAGGGACCACTGTATACATACACACACAGAGACTGCTGTATACATACACACACAGGGACCATTGTATACATACACACACAGAGACCACTGTATACATACACACACAGAGACCATTGTATACATACACACACAGAGACCATTGTATACATACACACACAGAGACCATTGTATACATACACACACAGAGACTGCTGTATACATACACACACAGGGACCACTGTATACATACACACACAGGGACCACTGTATACATACACACACAGAGACCATTGTATACATACACACACAGAGACCATTGTATACATACACACACAGGGACCATTGTATACATACACACACAGAGACCATTGTATACATACACACACAGGGACCATTGTATACATACACACACAGAGACCACTGTATACATACACACACAGAGACCACTGTATACATACACACACAGGGACCACTGTATACATACACACACAGGGACCACTGTATACATACACACACAGAGACTGCTGTACAAATGTACACACACAGACAGCTATAAACATGCACACACAGGGATCACTGTACACATGCACACACAGGGACTGCTGTACAAATGTACACACACAGACAGATATAAACATGGATACACAGAGACCACTGTACTCATGGAGGCAGGAGTGAAGAGGTTTTTGAAGCATGTTTACAATTGTCTATATGTACATATGTATAGCTATCTCTGTGTACATGTGTATATCTATCTCTGTTTGTACATGTGTACAGTTGTCTGTGTGTAAATTTATACTTTCTTGTTTGTACATTTGTAAAGTTTCCTGTGTACATGTGTATGGCTGTATCTGTAGATATGTATAAACTTCTCTATGCATATGTATACACAGTTAACTTTACACATGTTTACACAGACAGCTAAACACTAATAACATAAGTACAAACAGAGACAGCTAAACACTGATAACAC